GACTTGACATCACATCAACTCTAAAAGTATCATTTCATCACAAAAGTGTGATGCCCAATATGGCATCAATCTCATGTAATTCAGTTTCAGTCGAATTCAACTTCACCTGCTTGAATGATATTTTATCTGATGATGAATTAATTCCATGTGATTCAATTACTACTAAGCCACAACTGACAGCTTTTATAAAGGGGCATGCACATACAAATCATCCTGGGACGGATACCTGCTAAAACAATTTTATTGTACTCATTACTAAATTATCTCTTTTAAAGTTTAAAGCTCACCAATCCAGTTCAGACCAAACTAAGCAAAGATTCCCGAGTTACCCCTCTTTGCCGTAAACTGAGTGAACTCAATAGAGGCTACAGTTTTCAACAGATTTATTTCAAATTTGGTGTGAAGCACAAACCCAACTGGTACTTAATGTTCCGTTTCAATTGATGACCAACAGAAATGAAATTAAATGAAATGAAATGGGGTTTAACGTTCTACTGTGTTCTGCTCCAATTGGGCTAAGACGGGGTTGACTGATGGACCGAAATGTGGGAGTAAAAAATATTGTCAAGTTAAACACATTCACATATCATTTAATTAATGATTTTGATAATCAACTAGATATAAATGCAGGTAGAATAGAATATAATGCTACTGCCCTGATATAACTGACGACAGATTAGAAATAATCATTTCATTAAATTTTGTTCCAAAGACTTTCAAATGTATAAGACTACAAATTTCTTAAAAGGAATCAAATATATACTATTCAAAAAAAGTAGGGGATATTTGATTTTTAAGTGTTATTAAAGTCACCTAATGAAACTGACGAAGAAACAAATGACAAAATGAAATGAAGTTCACATTCATCGATTTATTCCAAATGATCGTTAGACTAAGTAAGGCACAGACTGACCATTATAAGGGTAAAATGATACCCGGGGTCAAACAGCAAAGTTACCACAGCATCACAACCAAGTCAGTAACGGGTAAATCCTCCTCTGTTTGCCAAACAAGCATTGATCCGACGTGGCATACTCCTAATGAGACGTCTAAGGTCATTTTGGTCCAGATTGTCCCATTCCTGTTGCAACGCAGCAGCAAGTTCTTGGACATTGGCAGGACGTTGTTGACGTTGACGTAACCTCTGTCCAAGCATGTCCCAGACATGCTCGATGGGGGAGAGGTCGGGACTCAGTGCTGGCCAAGGTAATGTGGTGATGTTCTGTTGTTGGAGGTAACCTGTAACGATCCTGGCCCTGTGACATCTTGCGTTGTCATCCTGGAAGATGAAACGGCGGCCATGACGTCGTGCGAACGGCACAACATGGACTGCCAAGATGTTGTCCCGGTAGTACTGGCCTGTAACACGCCCTGCAACAACATGTAAAGCCGTTCTTCCAGCAACAGTGATGCCTCCCCACACCATAACAGAACCACCCCCAAATCGATCATGTCTGATGACGTTAACGTCTTGGAAGCGCTCGTTTCGACGACGCCACACCCTCCTACGTCTGTCCAAAAAATCAACAGTGAACCTTGACTCATCTGAAAACATCACATTGCTCCAGCGTCGATTATCCCAGTGTTGACGATCCCTACACCAACGACGTCTTGCCTGAATAAGATGATCTCTCAAACAAGGGATCACGCGAGGACGTCGGGCGCGAAGGTGACCCCTATGCAGTCGATTCCGAATCGTCTGGCCACTCACTCTCACACCAGTGTCTGTTTATAGACGAGCGCTGATCTGATTTGCTGTGATGACACGATTTCTCAAGGCCAAGGTACGGATAAATCGATCCTGGGCTTGAGTTGTCGCCCTTGGTCGACCTGAGCGTGGTCTGTCCTGTACAGATTGTGTATCATGGTATCTGGACCATAGCCTGCTTATGACAGACTGAGAAACATTCATCGTCCGCGCCACAACCGCCTGTGTTGTGCCGATCTGTAGCATGCCAAGGGCACGTAACCTTTCATTCTGGGTAAGCCGACGCATATCAAAATTTGTTTTCTGGTCACTAAAACAATTAAACTGATGTTTCCACCCTGGAATTCAATGCCACAATGACTGTAACATTCAAAGTCAGAGTCGTGCAAATCTTGGGTTGGACCCCCATGATGATCCCAAGCATCACCTGCATTCCATGCGGTAGCTATTGGTGCGTTTGGGCGTCACATGTAACTGGAAATGTTTCTTCTGTTAGGTTCTATAGTGACTTTTTTCGTAGTCATTTGCATATTTTAGTATTATGCCCCCAAAATCAAATATCCCCTACTTTTTTTGAATAGTATATATTGAAAGTTTTAATTCAGACAGAATCAATATTTTTATTTTACTTTTTGCCTACATTTTCTAGATTGTGTTCGTCAATCACATCTCAAACTAGAAGAAAATATTACGAGAGATCAGTTAAATTTTATGGAATTCATTTAAATGAAAAGTCTGGAGGTTAAACGCCATATCTAATTTGGTATATCGGTACTATTTATGATAAACAAAACAACAGGAGAGGCTCACACTTTAACTACTAATCTCTTTTTAAAAATTCATACTTTCAAAACTAATTACAAATGGTTACTTTATGCATTTACATTGTGTATACAGAATCTATTCACAGTTTCGCCATGTTATAGTAATGAACTGGCAAGCATTGGAGGTCAAGATTATTACTCTGTTTCAATCAAATAAAGATCCCATATTTGCGCAAAGATCAGTGAAAATCCTGAGCTTATCAAAACTTCTATCGAGTCAAACAATAATCGGTAGAATGGCTTAGCGACCGGGACGGCTTTTACATTTTATGTTTGATCAAGAAATTTAATCTCTTATTATAAAATATCAGATATTGAAAATAAAATACAAAGCACACACTGACTCATGGTTTTTCTCCTTGTATTAACATCTAAACGACAACATCAACATCAAATACTATTGTTACATACATGAAAACAAAATAAAAAAGATCATCTTTAAATTCACAATATTTCCTAACATAAATCACAAATTAATATAAAAGAAATTTAATCAACACTACCATGTACCAGCTTTATGATTTAAATTATTTAATTTAATCCATTTTAAAAGGTACCTCTATTATTCATATAAATGATATATCATTTTAATAGAGTAATATATAATTATAAAGAAACACTGGTTACTTTTAGAAATAGTTTTCATTATATATGTACTACTACAGTAAACATTTATAAATTCAATAATTCCCTAATATAACATACCGGTATGTACATTTAAAAATTTTGTACATAAAATGTAGCATGCATGTATATTTAAAATAAGCTTAACTGGATATACTAAATTAGAATTCAATTTAATTATCATCGTTGTATTTGAAACAATTCAAATAAACATATTTGCACATGCATATACATGCCTAGCAACTTGTCAATGCCAGCCACCAGCTTTTTTTTTATGGCTAAAAAACCTGAATCTCACGCTACAGCTTGTTAGTTAACAAGTTGTCGTTTTTACTAAAGTAATTGACTAAAGTTCAACAAGGTAGACAGCAGATTTGGCTTTTACGTTACACTACTTGAACCACGACATTTTTCTCCCCACCCTAGTTCCTGAGGTGCATTTTCTAAACTCAAGTACACTCTATACCATGTGCACTTGACAAGTTTTTCTGTTCGTTTTTTTTTCAAAAAAAAAAGAAATAACCTCGAACCACAGGAACTGCAAGCTTTCACAGTAAATCGGGAGATATTATGAACGACATACATATACAGCTTGTAGTTTCTCTCGGCGTTTTACTAAGCATTCCATTGAATATGTGAAAAGATGGGGACGCGCTTTGATTAATACAATGTGTATGTGAACGTCTTTGCTTTGTCAAAGCCTTAAGCCCTCCGTTTCTTTGATGAGAAATTCTCAACGTGGCTGGGTTGCACAAGGATTGTTTGACAAGGACTAAAGAGTGGCTCTGGCGCTGATGAAAAATGCAAGGTGAAAATGAGAACTTTAAATAGAAATTACCATCAGTATAACCCCTAGAAAATCGTAACTAATGTACACAAGGTTTTACAGTCATTGTTTGTTGGAAAGACATTATTTGTTTTTGAATATCACGAGTTGTAACTTTTAACAGAAATAGTTAACCAATTTAAACAAGCACTGTACATAATATATTCCCACAAACTGACAATAAATATAGGCATTTGTTTTCAACATGCAGACAAACTTAACTTTTTTCTAATGTGATTCCATATGTTAGTGTTTTTAATGAACTGATATACACGATTTAAAGTTGCTAACCAAATAGCTGAAACTATTTTTTCACGTGATGTCAAAGATGATGAAGGAGTTGACATGACGATCTGACTGATTAACTGTATTTATCTTTCTAATAACATGTCGTAAGCTTGAAACCATTTTTATGGTATCAAAACTATTGAAAGCAAGAATACTGGTATACATTATTTCAGAACCAAATTAAAACCTGGGGGACTGGAACATAGGTTGTCAGGCAACAAAATATGTTCACCAAGAGCTAGGCTTTCCAAAATACAATAAAAATGTCGCAAATTTAAACTATAAAATTCAGGGCAGTAACAGATGATAGACGTGACTTCCAGAAAGTTATCTAGCTATCATCAATCAAGGCAAGTAACTCTGTAATTTTCAGAAATCAGTGAAAATCAATAAGCTGATAGCTGCCTCATACAAACTATTTTTGTTGTGGGAAGAAGATATTATCTTCTACTATAAAAAATGTGTAAATGGACTGTAGGACTGGATGATGACATTATACAACCAAATTCTTATAAGACATATAGAAGTAGATTTCACAAATTAAAAACACTTATATGGATATACTACTTCTGAATTCATTATTTGCTTGATAATGATATCTGTGTATCGAAACGTAGCATGTTAATAAATTCAGAAGTAGTATATCCATATAAGTGTTTATAATTAGTATACATTAGTATACAACCACATAAACAAATCAGAGAATATTAAATAAAAAAAAAATATCTACCTGTTCTACGAATGGCTGTGGTCGCCATTACATAACTTCATGACATTCTTTAGATCAATACATGACTTGCTGGCTGGAGACAAAAGAAAAAACATCGGGGTTTGGAATATTTGATTTTATATATGTGTATCATTTAGTATCAAATTTCTTTTTTTGGATTAAATGCTGAACTTCGATTCCTACTCTTTTTATGGCTCTGATGGTGATTTATTTTCATCAAAGTAAAAAGCAATGGGGACAACACAGATAAAAATAAATCATCAATATAATAGTGTTGTATTCATAAAATGACCTGAGAATTTCAAAGAAAATTTTCAGATAGACAATTATATTTGAATACTAGTAATTTGCATGTAACATCTCTCTGATCATACACAGAGTTGGTTATAACTCATTCACAATGTAAAATTGAACTATTTGGTGACCTGGTGGAACAATGTTTGAACCTGTACAACCTGATCTCTTCATTAATTCTAAATGATAAAATTGACTTTGGTGTGGAGTTGCAAGAATTTTATGGTATTGTTTGAGGGGTCAAGGGTTGAATCGAAGCTGTATGTTATAGCCAATTAAAATTGTTGACACAAGTTGGAAATGATGAAGTGCAGGAGATGGCTTTTCCGTTGTATAATGGCAGCCACAAAAGACAAGCAACACGTCCATGTTTACCGAAATAGTCACTTAGTCGTAGACAGAAATATTGCGTCTGCAAACTGACCAAGATTTCCAAATGAACGGTCAATCAAGGAGAACAAGTGTTTACTTTTCTTGACAGATAATTGAATTCATTATGTAAACACTGGTCCATTTCAACAGTAAATGTACAAGCTGTGTACCTTATCCATTACAACTTTCATAACTTCAATCAAATCATGGCCGCCACTATCCCCCTATTGTGTTAGTGAGAATGGAATGAACTGTGGTAATGAAAGTTTCGTTTTATCTCAGTTTTTATTACTGATGTCAACAAAACTGTGTCCTATAAAAGGCTGTTTAGATTATGTTAGAAGCTGTCATCGTCTTTTTTAGTCTCTCATGGAGGGTTATAATATCAGCATCTCATTTTCACACTAGGTGGCGCTCTCGTTACAATGTAAGCCATGTTCTTAACAGAATAACAAGTGTTAGAATACAAGTGATTCTTCACCAAATGTAGTCATTTGACTGATAACAATACATTATAAAGTATAAGATTTCTTGAAATTTAATTGGTGATATCACTTCGATGCACAACTGATCAAAGATCTATATTTAACAATACAATAAGTATTTATTGACATCTATACCTGGTAGCCTACTCATAAAATTTGGAAAAAAGCCAAAGTTTTAGAAACTTTTTTAATAAAATGCCCTATTAAATATTAAGAAAGGTCCTTTTTTTTTTACTATTATAACATGAAAATAGTGCATGCGATAATGTGATGAAATTCACTTAATATGTAGAAAGAGAGACACATGTTTATTAAGTATAGAGTATAGCCTCAGAAAATAGTTGTTTATTACAAAGAAACGAGGAACACATGTTTATTACATAGCATAGCCACAATTCACATCAAATCGAAAAATATATTTGTACCAAATGGTGAAAATGTCCCTTTAAGAATTACTCATTTTTGCTTGCCTCTCCCATGAGTTGTGGTTCACTTACACAGTGATTTCAACTCAAGAATAAACTATCAGAAGATTTAATTATAAAAGTAATTTTAACCAAAATAAGTAACATGTAAGCTGATTGCGCAGAGTTCCATGAAAAACAGGGTTGTTTAATCAGAAAATTTATCAAATAGAACACACAGATAATGATGATGAAAAGAACGCCTAATTACCTTTAAATGGTGGCCATTGTTATGTTTGCATGTTAGCATGTGTGTAGTGTACCTGTATGAGAAAGGAATCTGTGAAAAGTATTTTAATCAGGGTAATCTGTGTATTATCGAGGAGACTGATTACTGTCCCAACTTCATTAGATTGTCAATACCTGGGTAAATAAATCTGTCAGGGAAAATGGAGAATAAATCGCAGGTGAAAGCTAGGAAATGCCTTTAGGCACAGATATATATCCTATTCAATCTATATTTATCATGATAAATCTTTCCGAAACCTGTTCTCGTCCATAAGCGTCATATTATCTTGAATCAATATTGACTCAGTATTTGATTATAGTATTTTGAGCTTCAATCATATCCGTGCCCATTTACGATATTTCTTCTCATTTATGAAGTTATCTCTAGGGAACTCTTCACAACCCATGTACACAGAATCACTTCAGGCCATAACAACCTAATCCACTAATTTCTGATTTACATACCCCATACATCGTGTCCTCTTAATAACTTTTAATAACTTAATCATGCCAGTGATAAAAATACCATCGCTGTCATAAGTACAGTACTGTCTGAAGATATTTCACAATGTTTAAGAATTGCACGTTGACATCTTAGCATTCATGGGATAACAAATGTATATATGTCAATCATTCAGAATCCTGGGTCAGAAAACATTACAGATATCCTGAATCATTTCATACAAAATTTGCTAGTTCAATAACTATATTCTTGAAATCCATCTTTTACATTTCAACAGAACAAAAATTCTAAATCAAATTTTTTACAAACTGAATAACTTTTTTTGCAATTTGTTGCAATTTTCATCAATGATAGAATGATATCTGTGCTATTTTTGGCCAGCTTTTGGCATATTCCACAGAGATATTCTGGAGAACTATTCTCAAACACAGATCAGGAATAATTAGCTTTCAAACTATTCTAGGTTTCTTCCCAGTCAAACTCTTTTCAGCATTGAAAACTAGGGTTCATACAAATTATCACTGATAAAACTTTCAAAAAATAATGTTTCTATGAATTTCAAGAGACTGGGTTATGAAAAATATTTATATCCTTATTTCCAATCTTTGTCATTTTTCAACGGCTTTCCTTTATAAATTCCAGTAATTGCAGGTTTATATGAATTTCTTCTCTAACATCTTGCAGGTGGAAAGGGTTAAACTAGAAAATAGGATAGGTTATTTCCCATTAAGATAAAGAACTGGGTACTGGATAATCGGTGAATGATGATTTAAGTGTACAGATAGAGATATAAGCTTTATGGTTCTTGTATACAGTGAAACTTTTCTTTTCAAACCTGAAAAATATTATTATGAGAGATTTAACAGCACACAGAAAAACAATAAAGCAACAAAAATGCTTTATTGTAATGGTTCAGCTAAAGTTTCGGTTCCACCAAAATAACCAAATTGATAAGTATCAAAAATAAATTCTAAGAACATGAAATTCTCCTCTCAAAGACTTCTGATTTTGTCTCAAAAAAACATATTCTTGTATCATACAATAATAATAAAATATATTCAGAAAATAGATTATAGGTATTCAATTATCTTACTTTTCAAAACACCAAACAAAAATCATAACATAGGACTATATCTATATACTTGTTCATCACCCAAAGACAAGTCTTGGCATCAATCTTGGCATTAATCTTTAACAATAAATTCCAGTTTTACAAATTTATCAATAAACAAGCTGAAGATCTGTAGTGACTTCCCCTTCAGGACAGACCTGAACACAAATGGCAGGAATCATATGAGAGTGAGTGAGATCATTTGAAAAATATACAATGATTGAATGACAGACAGGGACTCTTGCTTATTACAAATATTGAACAAGTTAAATTGTTTATTACTCCCATTTCAAATATTTGGTTGTGGGAGTTTTTGTAGCTGGACACACATCCTGATGAGTTTTCCTAGTCTAATAACTCAACCATGTTTAAATATTGATAAAAGTGATATAGCTTGCTTGAGTTATGGTTTTTAACCACGTGCGGCCCTGCCCATAGCGATGCTCTGTGTAAGTACATTGTTGAAACCGAGAAAAAGACACTCACTTATTCCTGTCCCTCCAAATTCGCTAATATTTGTTTTCATATTCTATGTAAAGGGGGCTGGCTACAAAAACAAACTGTGCTGTGTTGACATCTTGCTAAGATTACAATCATAACAGTTTGTTACCGTTTGTTCAAATCAGGGATGCAAATATTTTTCTTCACACATAATATCATGTAGAATGTATTTGAGGATGATAAAGATTTTGACAGTTTGATTACAAATTTACATTCTCTTATCAGGCAAAATCAACACTTGCTAGTCAGTTATAATAGCCATACAAATATACAGATCTCGACCAAATCAACAACCTTGTGTGCTAAAGTCTGTTTTATTACATCGCAAAGTGCTATAACCCATACCTTTCTTATTTTCAGAGCAAAGTTTGGTCTTCCGCGTATGCACACATTAGTTATATGGACTTTGCACATGAGAGGTTTCCGTTTACTCAAAGTAATGAAACACAAATTCACATTGGCTTCTTTAGACACTACAGAAACCCAACTCATGAAGGTTTGAGAAGAGCTTCTATGCAATCAGAAACTAAAGTAGAAAAACTATTAGCGTGTAGTATTTATTAGAGTTTAGTGTAGTGTAAGAATATTTGAAAGACAAAATTCACATACATGTACGGTAATGATTTTTAAAAACTGAGCAAAAATAGATTTAAATTTGACAATATGTTCCATTTTTCAAAATTTTCAATGCAAATTAGGATAAATCTTTTTAAAATTATAAACGAAAAGAGAAATTAAGAATGGATAACCTAAAGGAGAATAAGGCCAATGCATGATGAGTAATTATCTCATCCATTAGAAACACGCACAAATTAAAAAAAATTTGATTTAAAATTCTTCTGCTATCAACGTTATTGAGCACATATACAAAATCATCATCCCCACTAACGGTGGCTCAATGAATAATGCAATCACTCACCAGCAGGTCATGTGTTAGATCTCAGTTTTGGCCGAGAAAATTCATTTGGATGGACAGCCTAACAAGGAAGAGCATCTAGTAATTTGATAGGGACATAAAAGAAACCCTGGCAGTTGGAATTTGGCAAAAAGTAGACAGAAACACCACTGTCTGCATGGCTTAAGTCTATCTTTATCCAGGTTGGTGCAGAAAAGTATGATGATGTTAAACCCAATTTTGTTTTACCATTTGTTCTATGGAAAGTCATTTATACAAAAACATGTCATATACCTGTACAGCAATGTGATAATGTGTTGGGTACATCGTACCATAATTTCTTGATAAGACCTATTGTATTTGAATCGCTAAAGCACACAATATCCAGTTAGTGGCAGTGTTCGCAGACCCAATTATTGTGCGAGTGGAAAATAGTGGGAATCATTAACTTGGATATAATGAAGAACCATGGAATTTTAGAATTTGTTGTTTTCTTTTTGGTCATATTTTTCATTGTGGTCGCGATACAGGACAAATTGCATGGTAAAATTTTACAAATTTTGCTGGGATAGTTCAATATGGACCCTAAATTTGAAAGTTATCTCTCCGTTCTGCAGACATTTGTGTGTGCAACCAGTTTTATTCCAAGTAGGTAATTAAATGTCTGGATTTTCAATAATTAGGTGACAAAACTATTATTGTTTGTATGTACCCAAGTTTAATTTCATAATATACTATTAATCTCTAATTTTATGAATCTAACAAATAAATTAGTATTTTTATTCTTCTAAAACCAATGTTGTCAAAAAACATTTTGATACAACCAGACTTCTGGTTTTTACTAAATAAATCTGTGTTTTTTAGTTTATATTCCACGCTGTGAAAGAGAGAATCTGGAGTAACCTGTGCATACCCTTATACAAGAATCAAATGTTATTTCTCACAGACCAGCAGGTCAAATTGGCATTTTTTATATAGATTTAAACGCTTTTTGTGAAATAATGTGTATTTTCTAATTATCAAGATTACCTAGCACAATAGTTGAACCATAACATAAAAAAAAAAATATTTAAGAGATATTTCTGTCAAGATAAATGTAATCATTTAAGGGCAGCCGAGGTTTAGTCAAGATAGCATCTTGTTGACACAAATTACTGGAGTGATTGTATTGAGCGCTTAATTTACGATGGGTATCGTCTCAGCCAGGGTTAATTACTGCAGAGGTCTACACTCACCTCTTTACACACAAATGAATTACTCGCTGTTTACTTTGTTAAAAATTGCACAAATTTCATCAAACATAATTGAATAAGGCTATGTTTACATTGCTTCTATGTTGGCTGAAACCAAACAAAGCATCACATCTCATTTGTCTTGTGCTGTAGTGTACAGGTCTAAACGTCACCCCAAGGAATCCTTTCCTTGCCAACAATCAATTTTAATCACAACAAGTTACCATTCCACGGTAAATATTGTTTACTTAGCTACACTGATCACTGGAAAGTCATCAAAACTAACCTCCAACCGTTCGCTCACTGGTTAAAACTCTTCTCGCCCCGTCAAATTTCTGCCTTATTACTAATCATTCATACCAATCGACTACACAAATTAGAAATTGTCTGTCATTTTTTAAGATTATCGCCAGAGAAATTTATGAAGAGGTCACAAATTACACGGAATAAAAATGAAAGTTGATGGAAGTTGTGCCAATGTTGCAAGGATAATAAACTGGCAATTGTCTGCGTGTGAAATCAGTGACAATAAATAAGTAAACAAAACGGAGTGGGTAAACTTTCTCTATCCTCCCCATGTTTAATTTCTCAACTTGATCAAACACTTATTTCAACACAAACTGTTTACAATGATTGCGTCCAAAATGAAACAACCTCATACCGTTCTTTATCAAAGATATTACAACTCATTTCAAACTCATAACTGTCAGCCCCTGATTTGAATAGTAAAGAAAATCTTCAAAAGAAAATGAGAATTGCAAATTCGGTGATTGTAATTATGAAGATTCTAAGGACAAAGGGTACTTGGGTTTGTAAACAACTATCACATACCCTTCTTTAGCTTTATTCAAGTCTTACACAATCGTAGAAATAATTACTTGCAATATGAATGACACAATTACACTTTCAAGATAGTTTCTGCTTTTAATGAGTTTTTTCAAGTAGAGACATTTTATTAGAAGAAATTTCTCTCATTTTTAAAAAAAAACAACAAAAAAAATGAGATCCCTAAAAGATAACATGAAAGAGTTTTCCATTGGCACTTCGATTTTTAACTGTATGTAATGACAAAGAACTATTTCGTTCTCTAGAATAGGTTGGTGTAGAAAAGTAGGACGCTAAACCCTATTTTGTTTAACTTTTGTTTTATGGATGGCATTATATACCAAAATATGTGTCGCATGCATCATACCATTTCTTGATAATTAATATTCAAATTAATTTAGTACTCTACACTTACATGAATGTTGACAGTCCTGTCAAATTATGTTTCTTGAATTGAGAGCAGAACACTACTAATTCTTCTTGACTCTCAAAAGCACATAATATCGGTCAGTGGAATCATGTGTTTTGATTGCTGAATCACATCAATAAGCTATATCAAAACACCAGCATTAATAAGGGTAATAACCAGCATAGAATGTCATAACATTAGCTATAAAGGCTATAACTAACAATTTAATAATACATATAGATAGGTGAAAAATACTGTATATCAATTAACAATATTACACAAAATATGATAATACAATTTATTTCATCTCTAAGTAAGAAAATATTTATATTTTCACTCATGCTACGCATTCGTGAAAATATAAGTTTTCTTGCTTCTCGATGAAATAAAATATGTTATTCACTCTAAAACGACAAATATCCTCTATGTACTTATATAGTAGTCTAAATATATGTCCATATATTGGGTGTCTTGTCTTTTGAGCTTTTATTTGATTGTTATGTGGGGTGCAGTTCTCCTGCACTTTCTGTGATAGAAACATAAGTGCCATAAAGATCAACATATATTTTAATATATTGTCTTTAAAAATATAAGGAATGGCTTGAATAAAACAGATTTTATCAATTGGATTTACCAATTACTATTAGCTCGTTTTCCATTAGAATGATATATATTTCATGCAATGCCACTGGTTCATTCCATGGCTTCATTATCTTTGAATTCATTTTATATGCCTCCTTTAAATAAAATTGAAACAAGGATATTTTTAATGATATATTACTTTGAGATTGAACTTCTATTTCCATATCTCCAACCTCATGGGTTTTCTCCGGGTCCTCCTGTTTCCCTCCCACTGCTAAAGACCCCTATGCGCAAGCGAATTATTGAAATAAAATTAGTCCTGAAATGACCTACATGTAGTTTGTGTTGAGTGGACATTAAACCCCATTTCTCTACCTCTCTCTATTTACATATCCAAATTACCAGGGAAAATATATCTAATGCTGAAAACAATAGATTTTAGGAGTGCTTTATGATTAATTTTTTTTCAACTGCAAATTTTAAAAAAGCACATTTACTGCCATCATGGCTAACTGATCCTTTACTAGGATTTGAATTAGAGAATACCATATAAATAACTGCTAATTATGAGCTATAGCACCTTCACCACCTCCTCCCTATTGTCATATGAAATATCATATTTCCTGTCAATGGAGGTTGCAATGGGTGATTTAATTGACCGTGAGGTAACATATATTTTCATGTCTGGAGGTTGCGGGTTTTCTCCCGGTGTTGGCCAAGAAAGTTCATCTGGATTTTACCACATAGTTTTCTCATGTCAGTGATGCAGGTCCTGTGTACAGATTGGCGTGCAAGTTAAAGATACCTTGGCAGTTGGAATTTGATACAAGAGTAGGCCATAGAGCTGCTGTCCAGGCAAAATTTCCCTCATAGCACACTGTATGGTGTATGCCTGTCTTAATTAGCCCAGTTGGAGTAGAACAGTAGGATGTTAAATCCCATTTCATTTCATGTCTAAATGTTCCTGATTTTACTATTTTATAACCAATTGTTTCTCGGATAGTAAAAACCTCACCGAGTCTTTGTAGATCTAACATACAAAAAAGGCATAACATTCCATCACGGACTAATTACTTGATACAGACACATTTAATCTAAAAGCAATAAGCCAGAATAAAATGAGTAAATTAAATTGGGTGGTCTTGTGAACGGCAGATGATACAGACTATACTACTACTATCGCTACTTGTTATACACATACAAGTGTCCCAAATCTACATCATAACAACAGTATCCCCATACTTAATTGGTCTGGTGTGAATGGATCAAAGCTTCTTTATGGAAAACATACTTCAATAATTGTCGCAGGTACACCCATTTACACAAATATGGCAGCATGAACTCTGACCTGCCACAACCTGCGTCCATTTCAAGCCCATCTTACTTTTCACTTTTTTTAAGTGATGGCAAACATAAAAATGAATCAGTTTATTTGAAGAAGTTTTAAACTTCATCTAATACACAAGCTCAAATTAAAGAAATTGTCAAAGTGTGAGAAATAACAGTATGGTGTAATTTCATTGTAAATCCTAATTTCATTGCACATCCTTGCTAAAGTGGTCCTCAAATTTTCTTCATTTCCATACGAGTGGTGTGAATTTCCATATTACTGTTACACATGTAGATAACATGAGTTAGTGTGGGGGTTTGCACGTGTTACATGATGAAACTATCAACATCAGATTGAAAGACAAGATGTGCAAATTGACTAAGCTTATCCTAACATATACACACAGTCTTTTAGAATAAATAGTATTTAATGATTGTAGCCTTGAGATAATGCTACTCAATCTATTTGTGATTGACCTATTCTATTGTTTTAGAATATGAATTTTATTACTTAGTTCCAATGTCTTTGTTAGACTTTTAATATGAAGTAATAAAATTTGATGCATGGGGTAAACAAAGCGAAAATCTATTAAAATTGAGTAATATGAGCAAGGGCAATAACTTTAAAATTAATATTTACTAAACTGAACAAATTACCAGATTGCCTTGCTAAAGTACCTTGCCTCAATCCCAAAATAAATTGATGACACTCATAGTGACTTGCACATTTTTCTTTTTATAAAGCTTCTAGCAATCAAATCATTTATCACTTTGCTAAACCTAAGCAGAAAATGCTCACAATCAACTTCATATTAGTCAATGTGTGGATATAATGAAACTTTCTCTCTGCTTAGCCTAAGAAGAAAATGATTGAACCCAGTCAAAACATTCACATAACATTAACAAACTTCTACACCAAGATTGAAATTCAACCTCAGAAGCAGAGTCATTATGTTCAAAAGTGTGTGACAGACAGACATTAGGCTATAAAATCATCACCAATAAAATCAGTGAAGTAATTTGAATAACAAACATCTACATCAAGTTTGATCATTCTACTTCAATTATAAACAGAGTTATTGTGTTCCAAAAGATGTGTTTAGCCTAAGCAGATGACCAAACTCAGTCAAGTTTAATCATCTAGCGACCAATGTGGGTAACCTATATAAAAAGTAACATGAATTAAAGATATATGCAAATTGTTTTCATTGGGAAATCCTTATTATACATATTATATGGGTAAAGAGACTTTTCTTAAATCTGCAACTTATCAGCTACAACCCTGAATTGAATTGGCTAATTTTATACCAAAATATGTTCATTCGTAAAGACAAAACAGTAAGAAGGTCACTTTAAAAACTCACATAGATAAAAGATAAATAGATATATACTTGCTTGACTGGCATTTTTCTTGATTCTTTACTTAAATGTAAGCATGAATTCATTTATCTATTGGCCAACCATTTGTACATCAATTATGACTGTAGGCTTAGAACTTTGTTGTTCCTCATTCTGCTGGAGTGATTATCAATTAAAGGGAGGCAATTCAAAATAGTACAATTTGGAACAAGACAGGCTACCTAAAACATTCTGAAATAAAATACACATAGATATTATCCAAAAAATTCAAAAACAGTGTGACAAAAAAAATCCTAGCTAGAGATAAAATCTTACACTCAGATACATAAACAGCCGGTTTTTCAAATAATTTTGAAGGAGAAGTCATTTTGTTCACTGTCTAGTATTGAAATAGTTTTAATCACCCTCATCAGTTCATGTTCAAATAATTTTGTCTTTAACCATTTTATTTGTAACATTATGAAGGCAACTGCCATCCACTGTAAATAAACAAAACAGCATGTTTTAATTAAAGGTCTTTGATAATGTCTTAATGTACTAACCTAGTCATGAGTATATAAACAGTGAACAACCTTATAACATCACATCTAGAATCATATTTGTTAAAGACCATGGATTTGTACTTTGGGTTGAGTATGATGGAAATTACTAGATAATTAAAAGAATAATATATTGAATCTCCATCGACTCAAATTTGAATTGGAAATATTACTGTTTTTCTTCACAATTTCAGGGTAAAATAATGTATGCCACAAGTACAATTTATCAAAAAAACTTTGGTTCGGAAATGTGGGCTTTTCTTAAATTGGTATGGTTGTTTACATTTTCAGCAATATTATATGGAAATATATTGTTAAAAGTAAAGTAAATTCGTGCCCATTGCCAGTCTTTTTGGGCCAATAAGTGATTTAGGGGAGGTAATTCCATTTAATTACCACCATCAGTGCAAATGTGATATTTTTATGCCAACTGATATCAGTAACTAACCTAGAATTCAAGTAGAATCCATGTGATATTTTTTGTTAAAGTATCTTCTCAATCCATTTTTTGCATCACTTTATCCACTATTCTATACATAAACAGATAATATTCTTAATGATCTGAACCTTCTCAGGTGTTTTGAAAAATCATTTTCTATAATAATAATAATAATAATCTATTTATAAAGCGCTGAATATCCAACAAACTGGTTGCTCAAGAGCGCTATCCATAGGCGTACGGGAAAATTTTTGACTGGGGGGGGCGGTGGTGGTTGGTGCCCAAAAAATGTAGTTAGGTTCTTAGTATGTTACATAATAATAATAAATTCGCTGTTAAATTGGAAACATTCATGAACACAATATTTTTTTATACAACTTTTACAAAGTACAATTGTGTGCCCAAATTTTCCCAGCATTTGGTGCCCAAAATGGGGGGGCAGCAGCTCGTACGCCTATGGCGCTATCTACATAAGACATATTTTAAAGATGAAAAATATCCATGATACGATAAACATTTAAACACAAGGAATGAACAAAATAAATGTCATAACTGGTCAAATTACCATAAACAAAATAGTTATTAGCACTAAGAGTAAACAGATTTAAAGAGTTCAGTCTTAAGAGATTTCTTAAAAGATGTCATGTTTTTAGAGTCTTTAGTCTTTTTTGATAGCCTATTCCATAATGTTGGGCCACTATGGGCGAAAGTTCTTTCACCACTTTTAGTTTTCACTAGAGGACATACGAGAAGGTTCTCATTCTGTGAGCAAAGTGAACGAGAGGGAGTGTAGGGTGTAATAATTTCTTGAAGGTATTTAGGAGGTATTTCTATTCTTCCCCGTTTTCAGTTCTCGGGGGGGGGAGGGGAATATAACTATTGCTTAATTACATTACAAATCTATACAAACTACACTTTTAGGCAGCATTAAAATTTCTTTTACGGAAAATTATTTTAAGGAAAATTATGCAAATATGCAGTTTTTCTCCCAATGAACCAAGTGCAGAGAGAGAGAGAGAGATGGGGTTTAAGGTCCACTCGACACAAACTAGGTCATTTCGGGACTAACATATGGTTAAATTTTATTTCAATAATTCACTTGCGCATAGGGGTCTTTAGCAGTGGGAAGAAACCGAAGGACCTGTAGAAAACCCACGAGGTTGGACAGGGACACTACTCCTTGTCACCTACAACCGGAACCAAGTGCAGTAACTTAACACTATTGACCATTTATTGACTTGAATTTTCTCAAAATATTATACCTTATAATGTGTAACTGTCATGTATAGCATCAATCAAACACGTTATAGTGCTCTATTAACATCCATTGAATGAACAATTGTTAATTGTGACACAGATAAATTTCTATATTCCAACAATGTGTGTTCTGGAGTTTAATTTTACTTACCCTCCCCTGGATACATTATTTATTCTTGTATGTTTTTGCCAGTATAAGCTAATAGATAGAACTTCACTGTAACACTTTAACTGTAAGTAGTGTTTCTGACCCCTTGCTTTATATGGCAACTCACCTTACAGAAAACAACACTGTTCATAAGGTCCCATTTTTTGAACAACAGGAAGATAAACAACCAAACTTAAGATAGGATAGGAATTTAATATCTCGTCAGCACAATACTCTGGTCATTTTGGCACTAACATACAATTACTTTTGTTTCTACTGCTAGAAGGCAGAATTTTTTCTAGATAGCAGTGTTCAAGACTACGATTGATTGAATTCAAAATTTCATAAGTTCTTTTACGTGCATGCCAATGTGTACATGGGTGGACCAGGTTAAATAAAATATAAAAAGAAAATTAAACATTTTAATTTTCAGGGAAAGTGTTTAAAGGTACAACATGAATATTTACATTTAATAAACAAACCATTTATATATACAAATAAAATATGTATGCACTGATACAACAAAAATTCTTCTTATTAAACATACATTATGCAAGAGCTAAATCTGCCTATTGCAGGTCTTTCTTTGGGCCTGAATTTTTTTCTAAATTATTAATTAGACATTAACTTATCCAAGCCATAATCAACTCTCGATGGCATTGGATTTCTCCGATATTAAATAGATTATAACAGTTCAGCCATATTTTGATTTAAGCTAAAAATGGAGGAGCGAAACTATTGCTCACGTCTTGTCAAACATTCAAAGGCTAATATCTTTGCTCGTAATAGAGTAATTTGAATGAGATTTTCAAATTATACATTTTACATTATCTATTTTCGAACTATTATAGCAAGAATGGCTAGCTCTTTATCTAAATCGTACATAATGTATCTTTAACATTTAATAAATATTCACTTCAACTGACTAAATTTGTCTTGAGTTTAGCTTGTTGCCATAATAATTGTTGAAAAAGTTACGGTCATCCTATTTGGCTGTCTTGGATAATCATAACATCAGAATTCTTTGCGGACTAAGTCCAGAAATACAGGATGATTTCAAAATGATACACTTATAATCAAAAGGATAGTTAATGAAAAATGTTATATATATATATACAAAAAATAAAACCATCCTACACCTCTCACAACACTGTCATTAATGGATAAATCTTAAACTGTCTCCTTACACTGCATCGTAAAATTAAAAAATCAACAACACAAATTTTCCTTTTACTGCTTCTCCTTAAATGTTCTTTTGATATTCATTTCCTTGAGCAATACAAATAATTATGTTGCCTTTGTTTTCTTTTTAGTTGTATCTTTCTTTTCACCTCTCTTTAAGGCGACCAAGTTGCCTTTCAGTAATGTACAATATGCCTGAAAGAAATAAAGTACTTAAATGTAGAAACATTATAAAGCAAAAAAAGGAATTCCAAAAGTGTATTTTATTTAAAATTGGGATAAAATTAAAAATTTGATTAAGGGAGAACGCGGGTTGAAAAAAATTCCACTTTTTAAGTAATGACAGTTTTTGATAGTTTAAAGCCTTATCTTTGAGTCCCCAAAAACAAAATATCAAAAATTTCATTTTTTTTTATGTTAAAAAGTACTTTTTCTGTCGATTGGTAAACATTTCTGAACCTGTACATGTCCGAATTTTGATAAAATAACGTCTAAAAAATCCCGATTTTAAGCCTCTACATGTCCATTGACCGCCATGTTTGATATACCGTTGGAAAGAGTAAACAAAGAATAGCATGATGGGAATAAAAATAATTGTTTTTAGTCCTGTTTGATATGACCCAAATAAAACCATTTACTTTTTGATGTGATTTTTCTCCGATTTGATTTTTTGGACGAAAATGCAATTTCAAATTACTAGATCTCAAAAAGTTACTAATATTTTTACTTGAAATTTGCAACAGTTATAGATTAAAGTCTTTTGAATGAGATAACAGAGAGTTTTTGTATTTACTGTTTTTATTTTTGTAAATAATTCAGTTTTTAGTTCATGTTTCGTTAAAAAAAATCACACAATTATATAAATGCTTATAAATTAATAAAAATATAGTGGACTCCAATTGTCTCTCTGTCATTTCTTAGCTTTATGCATTGTTTATAAGGTGTGAAAGTTTCAGAACTGTAGAGTTATTATTAACAGAGATCTAGCACTCCTACGAATTTCCCATTTTTTCTTGATTCGTTAGTAATCATGGCAACCAATGTCCGATTTGGGATTTGATGAAAAAAATCAGCTAACTAAATGATCTTTATAGTATATACAAAGTTTCAACCCAAAATAACATTAAAAAAAAAAAAAAAAAAAAAAAAATTCGCCCCTCGTTCCACCTTAAAATTCAAATGTTTCCAAAGGTCTGATCGATTCTTAAAATACAAATACCAATTCTTCCTCAATTTACAGAATTATATATGGATTTCAAAAATAACTTGCCATTTGGAATTTTGTTACATCTTTTTGACTGACCTAAAATAAAATAAAAAAATTATGAGTGAAAACATACAATGTTTTGTTTTATCAACTCATCCATCTCCTTCTCTATGATGTACAGCAAGTACTACAAAATCATTGGCAAAGACATGAATTATAAAATTGGGCTATATAAAAAAAAAATATTCTGGTTCTCACATAGAAAGAGCTACACGAGACTGATTATTTAAAAAAAACAAAAAAAAACATCCTTCCTGACTACCTACCACAATTTCATATGGTAATGGGGCGTAACCCTTAAATGTATCCAGTAAAATATGGAAGTGTAATTGGAAGTGTACGTTCAGCAAGCTTTCTATTATCAAGATCACAACCTGATAAATGTTACTGTCAATAATAAATAGCACAAGATATGACTGACACTATGCTCCATGATCCATGGAAATAAAGAGATGAAAGGAGCAACATTCACATTATAACTATCAAACACAGACTGTGTTTACTCTGTAGACCCAAGACAACAAATAGTTAATGTTTGTAAATGAGCTCAACTAAGAAAATTTTAGGTGTAACATAAGAAATAGTAATTACGCAAGATAATTCCTGTACACAGCAAGAATAAACTGATAATGGATCTAGAAACTTGAAATTTTATGTTTGCAAGTATTGTCTCAGAACCTAAATATTTTTTGTATACCGGTACATACAAGTATAGACTTTTTTATATACAGATTCCCAATGCAGTCATAAAACTTGTAGGTCATCCAACATTTGTTCCATAGGCTATAGCTACGTATAAGTATTTACAATTGTTGTGGTCACTCAAGCATAAGGCAGGATATGCTTACTAGAACACCTGATGTATAAGAATTATATATCATACATACCACTGTACTTATTTTCTTATTTCTGGCTGTTGCTCTAAATAAACATTTATATTCAGTTGGTTCTGGAGGATTGCCTGTTCTTGGTTTAGGTTTATTGTGTCCATCCCCTGAAAAAATAAACCATGAAATTCAACATTCATTCATTCTATTGTATCGTGTAAAAAAGAAAGAAATGAAAAAGAAATGGGGTTTAATATCCTACTGTTCTGCTCTGACTGGGCTAATGAAGATGGGCACACCCTACAGCCAATTCTTATATCGAATTCACTGCACCAGTGACAAGGGGGAACCACGCCGGAAAATCACGATGAATTTTCTTGGCCAACGCATGGGACCTCCAGGTTAGCGAACAAATGTCTTACTCGCTGAGACATTAACATCTCGAAAAATAAAGCATCAAAATATATTTTTCATTTAAATTTTATCTTTATATTTAGCTGACACATTACAAATATTTGGCTTTCATGTGATCAACTGAACTTATTAAACCATTTGCTGCGGTCAGCTTAGGTCTTCCCCATACAAAATTTTACACTGGACTGCTTAAATCATTTATGAAACTAAAACTAATACCAGCGACCGTTCTTTTAGATACACTCAAAATATTCAGCCCTATATTAAAAGCATAATCTGAAATAATAATTTGTAATCTTACATCTTTTCATTGTTATTGACACAGAACCTGAATTTTTGGATCTTTGGAACATCCTGGTAAGTTCTGATAGAAACTGAAATATAAAACAATAAAAATAAGACTAATGAGAGCTTTATGGAACATTCTGATAACAAAGATCATCTGTTAATGAATTCTGAATTGTCACTTGAACTTCAACTTGACGAGAAAGAATGGTGTTTTTTGTGGCGATCCATCTGGCTGCTAGTGCTACTGTCTGATTCATCGTAAATTTTAAACGGATTTCTTCGATTATGAACAAACTACTTAACGTTGGTTATTATAAACTTACCTGTGTGTTTGTAATGAACTCCCGTTCGATAAAATCCATTGCACAACTAATTATCACAACGATGAAAACAAGTTCTCTCTTGAAAAATTGAAATATCACAAACTTTTCCCAGAGAAAAATACCAATATGGAAGATGGTTACGTCACTCTGCGGAAGATATCATTTCGTATTAGGGGTGACAGCATAAGAAATTCAAGTACAATTACGACAAGAATCCATGACCACTCGGACCAAAGATCACTCGGTTCAAGGCCAGTCGGACCAAGTGATAGACCACTCAGCCCAAACAAATAGACTACTCGGACCATACAAAAAGACTATTCGGACACAACAGAAAGACGACTCGGACCAATAATAAAATGTTGTTTTAATAAATTGATAATTGCGTTTGTTTTAATATAATTACTCGAACCAATAATAAAGTGTTATTTTAATAAATTGATAATTGTGTTTATTTTAATATGACTACTCGAACCAATAATAAAGTGTTATTTGAATAAATTGATAATTGTGTGTGTTTTAATATGACTACTCGAACTAATAATAACGTGTTGTTTGAATAAATTGATAATTGTATTCCAAATCGCAAAATATCGAGAACCACACTTGTAGTCACGTTTAAAAAGGGGCATATAAACGTCCGGTCTTCGTATTATTATGTGCTGTTTATATTAACGCATCAAGGGCGGATAACTTGAAAACGTGTCTCCACCCCCCCCCCCCATATATAGTAACCCAGGGGTTAGTGGGGTAGAACGGAATGAAACCACTGGGGATACCGCGAATGTGGAAAAAGTAAAATTAGGCTATCAGACAAGAACAGTATACCCGTATATGTAGAAACTGTCAAAAGTCTGGACATACCGAGTCTCATTGCAAGAGTAAAGAAAAATTAGATTGATATTTTTTTTTGGCACCATTATTAATTAATAATTAATTAATCAACTAATCGTTGATTTATTTACGTACACAAAATTGAACCAAACAACTCTAAATATAAGAATTCCGTATAAGAATTATTTGCTTCTTTGTATTGTGATTTAATAATAAATAAATAGCATATTGTCTAGCCTTATAATATAATTTAATTGGTCCGACTGGTCTTGTTTTGGTCCGACTGGTCTTAGTCCGAGTAGTCTTTGGTCCGAGTGGTCTGGATACCTACGACAATTGGCATTGAGTTTGAGCGTTCGCACACATAACTACCCGCATTCCTGTATTTAGTTACCGTCTTTTACATTCTAGTAAAATCTCTGCAAATTTTATAGCTTTACTTTTTGAAATATTTTGTTCTAATTATTTGATTAGCGACTCGGATGGGATTATTTACTTTTGAACACGCATGCCGCACAAACACAACTATACATTCGTTTTACGGGCTTTATCACACTTCGGTCAAAACTGTCGAATCGAGAATTAATGTTCCGCTTCTTACGGGGTCATACGGGCTTAGTAGCATTATATACCCACAGGGCACCCAATAGACACGCTGAGGGCTGCCGCAACACGCTTAAAGATGTTACTGAAGCGGTTATTATTCGATCGAAAGAATGCGTATAAAATTAAAAATACACTCAGAGAATTCGGAGGTAAGCTTCATGATCCCTGTTAAATTATTTATAACATAAAGAAGATAGGATATTTATAGTTTATACATGACTTTATTTTTACGAGTATCCGTGCAATCAGTGATATTTTAATTGTGAAGAAAATTTGATAGACTGGCGATCAATGGTTTCCATATAAATCTCCTATGTAATTGCCTTCAATTGATATTTTTCGTCGCCCAAACCCATATACGATCAAAATGATCGCGCTGTCAAACTATCTTTCAATGTTAACCAACCCCCGCAACAGGTATATTGGAATCGACCAATACGTCACGAAGACATTGTTGACATCGACTCTGTCGAAATTACAAGTAAATTTTCAAATTTTTCAAGAGAGAAATTGTTCTCATCGTTGTGATAATTAGTAGTGCAATGGATTTTATCGAACGGGAGTTCATTACAAACACACAGGTAAGTTTATAATAACCAAAGTTAAGTAGTTTGTTCATAATCGAAGAAATCCGTTTAAAATTTACGATGAATCAGACAGTAAGTCATGAGTAAGTGGCTTATTTTAGGATTTTACTAGTATTCGTTCCGGACTTAGTCTATTTAAAATGCCTTAGCATTACGATTGTCAAATAGCTTTAAATTCACAAAATGATGTAATACGTTTTGTTTTACTTTAAGATTTGTAAACTGAATTAACATACGGCATCGTTTTCAAGCAACATTTTCCTAGATTTCACACACGTAGCTCTTCCTAAAAGTAAAACGGAAAACTCTTCAACTTTAGAACAGAGTATGGTAAAACAGGTGGTTCAATCGGAAAAGCGAGCATGTACAACGACAGTCAATTCGACCACCAATGATGTGTATAACGTCATTGGCGACAACAATTTTTAAAGATAGCTCACCCATGAGTTAGTTGTATTTTACATTCGCTTCCACCGAAGTGATATCGCAATCGCAGACAAACTCACCCATGTGTGTGAGTTGGTTGTGTTTTACGTCCGCTTCCACCGAGGTGATATCGCAGACAACTCACCCATGTAAGAGTATATGCGTCCATGGTAGGGGATGGGGGTAATTTCTTTTGCTATTATCAGTAAAATAATTAGTGAAATAATGGTATTCATTATTAATCCGAATAAAGAAAATTATCTTCTCTTCAAGATTAACACATGCGACAATATTTTTGGCATCCTTTTCTAGAGAAATGCTAAATCCTGATCCAGCAATGTTCATCGAAAGAGTTCCTGATTTAATTGGTGAGAAATTTAAAAATAAGGAGGGGGGGGGGGGGTGGATGGCCGAATGGTTAGCACCGATCTGGTTAAAACGCAGATCCTATTTCGTTTTGTTTTTAATAGTTCAAAATTTCGTTTTACTTGTCTTAATACTACACTAGGATCTGGAAGAGTTGTTATTTAACTCGTGTTCTGAATGGTGTCATGGATAAGCCAATGAAACGGTCTGTTAAGGCGAGCTTTAGGCGTGTTTTGCACGGAACTGTGGGTAATCCACTAGTAACATCAATGCTGATTGGTTAATCATTTCCTATTTAGTGTAAATGGGTATTAAAATAAGTAAAATTCACTATTTCTCCCGAATCAGTAACGTCTTATGTAAACAATGCACGCGCTATTGAGGATTGACGCCGCGTGATGTGACGTCAAGCTGTTACAGAGATATTAGAAGATCTCTGTGACACAGATTGGCCTGCTCCCAATGCTAAAGACCCCTAAGCGCAAGCGAATTATAGAAATAAAATTGAACCATTTGTTAGTCCCGAAATGACCTAGTTTGTGTCGAGTGGACGTTAAACCGCATTTCTCTCTCTCTTTATTTAAAAATAAATTGTAGTCGCTTCTATCGCATTTTTGACGATTTGACTGAAAGTCACGTTGTTTTTAAACCAATGTTTCCGAATGGAAAATATGACCTGTAAAATTCTGAATTTATACAACAAACGAAACTCAATTATTAGCTGTACACATTGTGGTTATTTTCCTCACACCGAACGATTGTTGACGAATATTATGATAATTAATTCAAATTATATAGATTGAAATATAATTTCTTACTTTGATATAATTAATTAAAATTATTATTTACTACTTCGTTTCCGTTACAGAAATTTTACTCAACCTCCACTTAAATTTATTTCCAAGTTTATAAACAAGAAGTTATAAATTTTTGAAAGTTTCTCTGTGTGGTAAACCTAAGTTTTAAAATGGGAGAAGAAAACATAACAGAGGCTGAGGCTGCTCTTTATGACAGACAGATTCGCTTGTGGGGTCTGGATGCACAAAAAAGGTGTCTATTTTTCACAATTATGATTATTCTGAGTTAATAATAATAATTCGAGCAAGGGGAGATAATCTCTTTGTTTTAATATAATAAAAAAAATATAGATTAGTTGTCAATGCGACTAATTGCCAAAAATGCATATTTTTGGTCGAGAATGAATATCCTGTTGAATATCTGAAATGTACACCCTGATTTACTGGAACAAAAAAGTATCTGATCTATGTTAAAATCGATTGTACTTCTAAAGTTCTACATGTAGTTCTGCAAAATAAAATTGAAAAGAATCCTCGAAGAAATGTAGCTTTAGACCTGGCCTACTGCAGGGTGCCATGAGGTTTCGTTCACATATAACCTCAAGGTGCTTCAAGCCAGGACTAATTGAGACTGGTTCCTCCTCAAAAGGCCTACTCATGAGCTGAAAGTAAAAGGCACCAATCAGTTAATTCCAAATACCTGGCCTACCCTTTTGTGTAAGCCATCATTGAACAACAATAATTTCTGACAAACAAAAGTTGTTCAATGAAACAGGTTTATCCATTATCATATTCACCAACGCTTCTTTTAGTCGCCAGATGTTGGGATAGTTTGACCTGCATATTGCGTCATATCCTCCTCATTAAAATTTGAGGTCCCCTGTTTAAACGTGAAACAAAGTGCATTTTTGTACAATATTTCTATGGATTACATATGTATTGTTTTTGTAGATAGGAGTTGAACATAATTAAATTAGGGTTTGGCGTAGTTTAGGTAAGACAAACAATAATAAAATCAGTAAAATTCATTTCATGTAGTATGATACATGTAGCATCCTGTTCGTAATGTGTATCTTGCCAGATTTCTCGTATCACCAATATAGGTCATTTCCTGTTTCACCGTTTTTTATACGCCCACATGGAAATATGGTCGTATATTGCCGTCGCCTCCATCCGTGCGAAAGTCTGTTGGTCCGTTGTCCACAATTTCGTGTGAGAACACTCTACAGACTACATTTATGATCTGATTGTTTTGAAATTGATATATGTTATTTACATTACTGAGATGAAGAATCCTAATTTATTTCAATAATTTTGTTTACTTTCTTCTGGAGTTATGGCCCTTGTTTCAATTTATTGCACCTGTGAACGCTCTAACGACAAAAATTATCATCCGATCTGTGTGAAATCCTTTTAATTAGTAATACAAAGAATCCTATTGAATTACAGCAATTTCTGTTAATTACTTTAGAGTTATGGGCCGTGTTTCACTTTGTCAAACCCTGTGAATGCTCTAATGACAAAAGTTTTCATTCGATCTGTATGAAATTTGTATGCATTATTTAGATTTGTAAAACAAAGAATCCTATTGAATTTCAGCCCTTTTTGTTAATTATGTCTAGAGTTATGGCCCTTGTTTCACTTTGTCAAACTCTTTAAACCAGTGATGGGATTTCGCCTGTATATTCTGGACATGTCCAACGCTATTTTCCAAACGTCCTAAATTGTACAACAAGGAATATGCCTAATTGGACATGGTGAATAATATTCAAAATTCCAAAATAATACAGTGTACTGAGTGCATATCTACCACGCTACCCAATTATCGTTGATAATAGGCTGGATTGATTAATGATAATATTTTGAATGGGGTTTAAAAAATGAAATAATCAAGCTGAGAAATGAGCTCTATTATTTAGCAGATGATGTCACTCGCTCTGTATCGTGGAGCGACAGTTAACTGGCCAATTTTTTTTTACCTCCATCTGTATATTAGTCGAAACGGAGAATAAGACGAATGCCGGACTTTGGCTGAAAAAAGTGTCAACCTAGACTCCGAAAAATATGGTAATTTTGGAGGAATATTACTAGGGTGAATTTGATAAAAAAAAAAATACGGATCGGCAGTAGTCAGCACATTTTCATTCTATCATATTACGACACATAATTTTGTAGGAATATTAATGGCATAAATTTGAATACCGCACGGCGCATGGGAATAAGATATGAAAAAAACGAAGAAGTTTATTGAATTTCAGCAGTTTCCGTTAATTGCTGCTAGAGTTATGGCCCTTGATTCACTTGATCGAGACTTTGGAACACAATAACTCTCCTTCTAATTGAGGTAGAATGTTCAAACTTGGTGTAGGCGTTCATTAGGTGAATGTCTTGATGGAGTTCAATGATGAACATTGTCTGCTTACGGTAAGCAGAGATAAGCAATCTGATTGGTTGATTCTTTGGTGCACAATAACTTTGGTTATAATGAAGTGAGAGCGACGAAACTCTGAATATAGATTCATTATATCATTACCTTGACTAAGTTCGATGGTGAGAATTTTCTGCTTAGGCTAAGGAGCGATAAGCAATTTGATTGGTCAAGACTTTGGAACATAACAAACTATGCTTTTAATTGAGGCAGAATGTTTATACTTGATGTAGATGTTCATTAGGTGAATGCCTTGACTGAGTTCAATGATTAACATTTCGAGCTGAAGCTAAGCAGTGCTAATCAATTTCATTGGTCGATGCTTTGGGACAAGATAGTCTTGATTCTATCTGATAGAGAGTGATGAAACTTAGTGTATAGTTTGATTGCTTGATACTTTTTAAAAAAATAAATGTGCGATTAATTAATATGTGTCATCTATTTATATTGGGATTTTGTTTCATTGCATTTCAGGCCCCATTTATTCATTTCATTTCATTTTGTTTATTTATGATTACATTGTCACTTTGTAAAGTGCCCCTGAACATGTTATATGAAAGGGCGCACTATGCTGTAATAATAATAATAATACATTTGTACCTGTAGGCCTATGTCAGTTAGTTACCTCCAACAATTGTTATTATTATTATTTCAGATTAAGAGCAGCAAAGGTATTATTGATAGGTATAAAAGGATTAGGAGCTGAGGTAGCAAAGAATATTGTTCTATCAGGAATAAAATCTTTAACAATACTTGACCATACACAGGTGAGTCTAAAACTGAAAGCAATTGTTTACATGACACATTGTTTTTACTTGTATCAACAATTGATTTACAATGATTTCAGAATTAATGTAAACTTTTTATATTGATCATGCTGATAATTGTGTATAGTTATATTACAGGAGAAGTTTAATTATACACTTTGTATCTAGTTAAAAGTACCATACACAAAATGCTGAGAAATGTCTTCATAATTGGAAATATTACCATCCTTGTGTCTTTTATTATTACTGTCTTTGGTAATTTGTTATGTATATTATTTGTAGGTTGATGAAGAGGACAAGCTGTCTCAGTTTCTGATTCCACAGGCAGATATAGGGAAAAATGTAAGTAGAAAAGATTTTACAATTTCACTTGCCCGTACAAGATTGGTAGATATAGTATTAAGTTAAAAAATTAATATCGCTAATGTTAATTTGTTTTAGCGGGCACTCTCATCTCTAGAACGAACCCAGTTATTGAATCCCATGGTGAATGTAACAGCTGATACTGATGATGTGGCTGACAAGAATGATGAATTTTTTAAACAGTATGACGTCATCTGTGCTGCATGTTGTCCTTCATCTCTACTATGTAAAATAAATAATATATGTTCAGAAAATAATATTAAATATTTTGCTGGAGATGTATTTGGTTACTATGGTTACATGTTTGCTGATCTTGGAAAGCATGAATTTGCTGAGTAAGTTCTTAGTTTCTTTTTAATTCCTTTTAAAACCCCATCCACAACTATTTGTAGTTTAGAATGTTGAGTAAGATATCTGTAATAGATTGTGTGTCAGATATTTGACCAGATGGGATTCAAACCTGCAATCTTCACTGTTAAAGTTTAAAGTTGCACGTGCTATCCAGTCAAGCTACACAGTGTTTTTACAAATTCTAGCTGGTGACTTGGCCCCAAGACTAGTTCAAGCACAAACAGTCACCTTCTGGGAGCTATGAAATAAGTACAAACCTGCCCAACATTCAGTAAGAACAGGGCTCACACTGTCGGTCGCCAAAGTCGAAATTTGCGATAAAAATATGAAAATGGCGATTTAAATTTGATTTTGACGATAATTTTGGCGATAATGTTTTGCGGTACTGGCGATTCTTTTTGAGAACTGGCGGAAAAAATCTTAAAATGCTAATCGTATTTATCCTGAATTAACCTTTATTGAATGTCAATCACATGGCGGGATACTATAAATTAATCAACTGGCTGAAAATAACAATAGGCCCATTGTGCACGCAACACATAAATTTATAGAAAAATGGCAGTCCTTGGATGAGATTTGACATGTAAATACTGAAAATATATTGTGCAGTATGGTGTTCAAATACGCTAAAGTCACCAAAAATAAAATCTGATCTTATTAAATCCAAACTTTGCTAATCTATTATGTAAAGACAGGTTTTTAAAGTTGTTGTATATTGTAATATCGGTAATTGTTTTATAATAAGCCTAGCTGAGACAAAAAATTGTTAGGTGTTGTCTTTTTTATCACACATTTTTGGCAGATAAAATATTCCAGTTGGCGGAAAAAAATATCAACATTTTTTTTATATAAAAATTATCATCTATTTTGGCGGAAAAAAAATTGAAAGCCAGTGTGAGCCCTGAGTAAGAAAGAATACTTTACACTCTATCCAATCACACACATCTACAAATGCACATATTCAACCTGCTATTACAATCTTGTAATAGTAATATTCTACTCTAGCTTAAAAAAAACCTTTATATTTCATATCTTATTGTTGATTATAGCAATATGGCTGAGACTGACTGCAACAAACGGTTGATGATGTGAAAATGATAGTTTGCAGTTATTCATTATTGACATCAAGTTGAGAAGAATTCTCAAATAAACCTTTTCAAGCATAAAATCCAGGAAGAGTCAAAAGACATTCACCTTTTTTTTAAAGATGTAAACTTCATTAAAATTTTGCTTTTGCTTTTATAACCTAATATTTATCATAAGTACATGTTTGTGTAGAGAAGTACCCAAGTTGAATCAGAAACAAGAATCAAGTCAACCAGATGAGGAATGTGGTGATGGTGAACCTGCTCCTAAAAAAATAAAAAAAGATGAAAAAGAGACTGTGGTTGTTAAAAAGGTGAGATTAAAGATGCATTATGTAAGATTTAGATAAAGAGATGGCTGTATAGTATATTGTGTGAATGTAACTGAAATTGTATGTATACTTGTTGTTTTACTTTAGTGAGGTTGGATGGCCGAATGGTTAGCTATGCAGCTGTATCATAAGGTCTGTCATTGAGTCAACTGGTGTGGTTTCAATTCCCTCGTTGTACATGACAAGGAGTAGGGTCGCCTGTCCAACCTTGTGGGTTTTCTCGGGGTGCTCCAGTTTCCTCCCGCAGCTAAAGACCCCTATGCGCAAGCGAGTTATTGAAATAAAATTGAACCATGTTAGTCCCGAAATGACCTGGTTTGTTTCGAGTAGACGTTAAAACCCATTCCTCTCTTTTTCTTTGTTTTACTTTAACTAACTACGTGTACTTCTTTTCCGGTTATCTATTCTCTTTGAAGTTAGATTTCAGCCACTATTATTGGCTAAAGTCAACAAACGCATATAATCTTTCCACTGGCATATAAATATAAATGACATGGAATAAAAGTGTGACCCTACATAAATCATATACTTGTTTCAATATTTTGAATTATAGCTTTGTATCTTTGTACTATTGGCATGTTACAAAACAAGATAAAGTGATAAGGAATAGTGTTTACTAGATAAATTGAAAATAATTCGGAAAGAAACATTTCTAAAACTATAATATCTATAATTTCAGGAGGAAATATTTTCACGTTTGCAGAGTGCCTTAGATGTTGATTGGTCAACTACAGAGATTAAAACTAAAATAAAAAGAACACCTACAGCTCACTTCATAACTTTAGGTAAAACTTGAAGTTAGAACATTTTACGCTTGTTTGTGTGTAGCACAGATTCGGCATGGGTTTTAATGGTATTGTAAAGCCCTTGTTTGTGTGTAGCACAGATTGAGCATGGGTTTTAATTGTATTGTAAAGCCCTTGTGTATAATTTAAGTCTCATTACTCTGCTGGTATTAAGGCATGTAGATTTGAAACTTTAAACATTAATTTATATTGAAGCTATGATTTTGTCCCATTCTTCATATTCCTGAAATAGTGGTTGTGAGTATTAGACATCATGATTCATGAGCATTTTTTAAATTTATTTAGCTATATTTGATTTTATGGAGAAGAATAAACGTCGACCACAACTGTCTACCTCAGAAGAAGACAGTAAACAATTGTTAGAATGTAGAAAGATGATTATAGAGAAAAATCAACTAGATGATAAATACCTTCCTGAGAACTTTATAGAGTAAGAATTATTTATGCATACTTAAAGTTAACGTAGCAATATTGTTATTAAAACATAACTCAAATCATGTCCAATCTGTGCATAGTGTAAAAACATAATATATTTTCTCAAATAAATATTTTAAAATCCTATTTATTAAAGTGTATGTTTGACATTATCAAGGGGTAAACATAGGATGTTGCCTTAAATTGTTTTATATAACAAAGAATTTGTTAGAATTAATGTGCATATTCATCAATTGGTATGATTAAAGGCTGATTAATGCCCACCAACTTATTTGGATTGCGTATGAACTTATTGCCACTTTAAACATAGCATTGCCAGACATTGTAAATAGGGGAGACAAGTCTGATATGGTATGTTGTAATGTAAGTCACAGGAACAATAGCTCATCTGAAAAACTATTAATTGCTTGGAGTATGTACTAGGTATAATGGATCCCTTCATTTCTGTATACTTGTTTAAAGAGAAACTATGACCTTGGTGGCCATTGCCAATCTCTGAAAATGAAAAAAATCATATTTAGATCACTAAACAATATAAATGATTTGATATTGAGCAAAGTTTAAGGTGAATCCATGCATCAATATTGCATAACTGTAGAATCTCTTCTGTGATTTTCAGACATTGTTTTGCTGAATTAAGTCCCGTCTGTGCAATAGTTGGAGGTGTTCTAGGACAGGAGATAATTAAGGTAGGTTATAGTTAATGGTACTATCTATTTTTGAGAAAACAAATGGGTGCAGGCTGTTTTGTAACCTGGCTGTTTCGTTCTTAGTTCATTCGAACCTCACTTCGTACCTCAAATTGATTCGTACCTTTCCCTATGTTGTTGAAATCAGTTGAAAGAAATTGAATATGCCGAACCAGAATTAGAATATGCACGAGATTTGTAATTCAAATTGATTAGTTCCTTTTCCTAAATCCAACGGCTGTGCTCAATTTATAAAAAATGGCTGCCGAATAAGAATTAGAATACACACGTGATTTGTACCTCAAATTGATTCGTACCTTTTCCTATATGTTGTTGAAATGAATTGAAAGAAATTAAAATAAATCGATATGTTGTTGAAAGAAAATGAAATAATAAGCGATTACCTGCCTTTTATTTTTTTAATCTGATGTTGATTATCGAACCCATTCTGCTCAGTGAGTTGTGATTATTGATGTCAATTGATTGGTGATTGTTAAAGCAGTTTAAAAAACGATTGAAAAAGTATTTAATCTGGTGTTGATTATTGAACCCATTCTGCTGAGTGAGTTGTGATTTGTGATTATTGACGATCATTGATTGGTGGTTGTTAAAGCGGTTAAAACGATTGAATATACTAAGAATTCCAAAATCAATTTAACTCATTGTAAGGTGAAACTGCATGCTTTCTGATTTGGTTGGGTTATTTGAGCCTAAAAATAGAACGCAGCAAGTCTCCAAAAGGTGCCTACATGTGAAGATGGGCGTACGCGTCTTTTTTATCTGTTATGTCATGGACCGTATATAGTATATACGGTTATATCACGGGGTAATTCTGTTATTGAAACCCAACTGCATGAAAATGGCTTTCGATCGTAAGGAAATGCTGAAACAATTTTAGTTTAAATGTATCCTTTGTGTGTGAATTACTACTATTGGGCAGGCTGTGTAATATCACGGACCTTATAATACATGGATTATAAGGTCCATGGTAATATCAATATGGAAATTTCTAATTTTTTTTTTCATTGCATACAATTCGCTTTTTGTTATTATATCATCATAGCTAATTCTCGTTCGGCAGCCATTTTTATTAAAAAAAAAATTGTTCTTTTTAAGAATTTTAACAGGCTGTGGTATATGATTTAAATGTAATTTTATTGTTTCATATTCATGTAATTATCAATGCATAAAATTCGCTTTTTGTTATTAAATCATCGTAGCTAATGCTCGTTCGGCAGCCATTTTTATAAATTTAGCGCAGCCGTTGTATTTGATCAAATCGTTTAATGTTTCATCTTTATTTAAATTTCTTTCAAACACATTTAGGAAAACAAACTACTCAATTTGAAGTACAAATCTCGTGCATATTCTAATTATGGTTCGGCAGCCACTTATAAAAATTTAGCGTAGCCGTTTCAATTTCTTTTAACTGATTTCAACAACATAGGAAAAGGTACGAATCATTTTGGGTTACGAAGTGAAGTATGAAACGGCTTATGTGAAGTAAGAAACAGCCAGGTTACGAAACAGTTGACATCCAAACAAAAATGTTATACAACTCATCATCATTACTCAATTTCTATGCATTTTCAGTTTTATAGATAACTTCCAGCACTACCATGCATACATGTTAATGATGTGTGGAGACTCATTATATGCAGAACTTACAGGACCTGTGAGGAGACTATTATGTTTGTAGCCAAGATTTGATTTGACAGTGAATATTCATATGCATATCACTCCCTAATTGACTGGTCACTAGTCACTAGTCTCAATCAAACATGTGCTTATCTGCACAAATTAAGATTTGTCCCAAAAATAATAAAAATAAAATGTATAAAAGCAATTATTGCCTTTTAGACATAAGGTACAATTTAAACATGGTACAATTCAAATATGGTACAATTATTTAAACATGGTACAATTATTTAAACATGGTACATTTCAAATATTTGTTTTTCTGAATTGAAATATTTGAAATCAACCAATGAGTATTATTATTCACTGCTATATTTTTTTAAGCACTAATTGAAATATAGTTGAATATAGCTGTTCTCTCCATCTTATAGAGGCTAATGTTATCATTCGATTCACTTGAAAATTATTCATGAGATGAAGAAGACTATTGATTATCAATGATTTCCCACAATAGATATCTGAGTTCTCATACTTTGTCGAATCTGTCTATTTCCTATAATTACTTTCAGAGTTTTGGCACTTGCTAAAGCTTCTGTCTGGTTAATGTTTTGTATATGTTAATGCTAGGAAGAAGTTTTATCAAACTTTATTGATTTACAATAATTACTTCTTGGGTTTTACTGCCCTTGATAACTTTTTAGTATCTTTTAAATCCCCAAGTAATGTATAAAGAAAAGAACCATGAGTTCAAGCTGTCTTGGACTGCTCAGATGATGAGTTACCGTAGGAGTTTTTTTGTAGCCTGTCAACCTATCTTTTATCTCCTGTCCAGAAAACAAGAATATCGTAAATATCAAAATCCTCCTGGATGATAACACTTTCAATGTAACAATGCAAACGAAAACAGGAATTAACCCTAATTCATGTTAAATTTCACTGTTGTTTTGTGTACTGTATGTTATGAAAATTGATTAATCCTTTATTATCGTATTAGACAAATATTAGCTCTATTGATTATTTTTGTTGTAGGCAGTTTCTCAAAAAGATGCACCACACAACAATTTTTTCTTCTATAATGGAGTGGAAGGAACAGGAATGGTGGATAAAATTGGAAACTGAACATAGTTATATCAAATTTTAAAAAAAACTATAGGAACAATTGATTTAAGTGCTGAAATGGTGAAAATCAAGATCTTAAATGTTTAAGAATTAAAGATATGGGTTGACAGGACAAGCTTTGAGGACTAGAAAGATATTCATGTAACCATTCTTGAAGCAGATATTGTTTTCGTGTGCAGAAGAACTAGACATAAAAACTGTTAAAACATGGCAAAATAGAAGAGAAAGTTATAGTACTATAATGTAACAAAAAGTTGTTTTCATTAAATTGTTAAAAAAAATTGTCAACCATTGTGAGAAACCTTTGGAATAAGATGCCAACCATTAACGATACTGCCATTCATTTTGAATATTTCTTTGTATAATAAAATAGACTAAAGCAAAATCATATTTATTAGTGTTAGTTATTGACTCTTTTCACACACAATTTTTAACACGCCCAACAATTTAGTTATGATCTTAATTAAATTTGTAAACTTTGATGTACAATATTTGTGACCAGACATATACCACTATAGTCACCTGGTAAGATTTTCTTGTACTGGTACTGACTGGGACAAGCATAAATAATGTCTCAGGTTCCAACCAGTCCTGCAGTGACTTGAATGTCTCATCCTTTTTCTAATATCTGGCTACATATATGAGGTTTACCGCACCCCCCCCCCCCCCCAATGTTTCTATGTTGCTGCTCTATAAGGGACATTATTCTGTCTTTAAATAATGGATTTATTATCATTTTTGGAAATAACTTGTATGGAGAAGTAGAACAGTTAAGTACCTAAATATTTTTGATAGTAACTTTGGTAAAATATGTTCTTTATTAAAGCTTACACACAAAAGGATTTGACACACAAGGAATAATGATTTCAATTACACTAATGATAATAGTGTAATATTTAAAAATTATTTAGAAAATTAGTGAGTGAAAATAATAGTAGGTCTTTCGATTTGCTGTGCATTTACATTGGTAAAAGATTGATTTTGAGCAGAAAATTATCAAAGGGGTCAACTAATTACCGAATTTGACCTGAAATTATGGATTGATAGGAATTTGTGTTTTGGTAAGCTGGCCAAGCTTGAAATCAAACTGAAAAATAGTGTAGCAGTATCATTTAAAAATTCAATTGCTCAATTATTGTATCCTTCTATAAGCCCCGAAACCACATATCACACATGTATGTTGTTTTTGGTATAGAAGGAATACATTTGACGCCAATTTCTGTCACCATTTTGGATTTTGGCCAACATATTGGATCAACCGTTTGTGAGATGGATCGGAAACTGTTCAAAATGAGTCTAATGACCCAAAAAACTTTTAAAATGATATATCATACCGGTCATTTTGGCAACAATGTTTGTCATTTTTGACCGCCATCTTGGTCCGTAGTTTTCAGAGAGGTAGCAAACTACAAATATCTTCACTAGGGTCCCTTCTATCAGAAACAATGTTCCCGGAGAAATGGTCACGGAACTGGTATCAAGACAAGAGGATTAGGTGGCGATGATGACAGGCAGGCCTCGGTGGACCGTGCTACGAGCCTACGGGTCGCCTACCAATTTGCACACTCCTAAAAAATCATTATTGTCGGCGAAATATCGGAGGGGGGGGGGGTCTTGGCAACCCCGTAGCTTGCCACCACACGTGCGATGTACATAACTACTGTGAGGCGTGCCGGTCTACTGTCACTGAACACGTGTGCTAGCTCATCACACTCTTGATTGTACCAGAGGCTGCATAGTGCATAATTTCCTGGGACCTGCCCTTCTATATCCGGGTTACGGGTTTAAAAGAGGCCCTGGTTTATTTTTTCGCCTACAAGGCGCCGGTTCAAATGTTTGCATTTACCTACACTCGATGTAGGGTGCCTACGTGCGCCTAAAATGTGGGTGCCTATTGTGCAGCCTATACTGCAATTCTATGAATAGAATAAAAGAACACCTATAGTTCACTTGAAATTTGATACTACAGCTGTATTGCCCGGCCTAGAGTTCTCCGCGTAAATCAAAAGACACTCTCTACTACCCTCAAGATTATATCGGCGGGAGGAGTCGAAGAAGGAAATTTCAGAAAATTCAGCCATAAAACCCTGCCTGGGGCACTTCAATTTGAGGTCCAGGAATGCTACGGGCCTGCGTATGTCCTTGCAAACTGTTTTGGTCGATTTTTGATAATTTGGAAGTTTAGGACTATTCTGTAAACGGATACATAAACTTAATTACTTGTTGAAAGGCTGAACTCCCTCAAAACCATCCTTCCTGGTATACATGCATACAGGTGAAAACTTAGTCATACCCAAATAAACAAGTGATAATCTGTTTGTATCCGTATAAATCAGTTATAACGATATAGAATTATACATAGCGTTGTCACACAATGCATATTTACTCAGCAGCATAGTATCAGTGAAAAATAAATACATACTAAAGTTCCGCTATTTATTCTGCTGCTATTTAAAGATACATTCCTACGCAAGTATTTACAAGTTAGTTATTTCCAATAAAAATATGGCACATCTATATATATATGGAAAGCGGAGACGCCAAATCTGACTAGAAAAATGCTGGATTTCCTTAAAAACACCCATGGGACAAGCACTGGGCAAAACTGTTATGGTATCATTGTCAGCCCGACGGCTTATTGTCTGCCAGCTTGACTTAGTGAGCTGTTGTTATTTCTTGATCGAATGGTTACGCGGTTTTGAGAATATTAAGGTTGGTTAAACGTACAACAGACTCTGCAATTTTACGGCGGAGAAAGAAGTTGGTAGGAGATAATCCAAGAATTTGCTTAGGCTTCAATATGTACATATGTTAAATAGACAGTAACGACAAATACATTCTGAAAATGGACCCTCCTTCAATCAAGTTACGTGACAAACATGGCTTCTAAAATAGCCATTTTTTTAATATCTTGGGGTATTTCCTCGCGAATACAATGTTTTAAAAGTGATTTGAAGCAAATTTTTAATAGATTAATTAAGTTTGAACATGTTTTTATTTCAAATATATCGTCAAATCACCCCGTTTGTACATCTAATATACATTTAAAATATTTATTTAGTCTTTGTGACCAGCCTGACAATAGCGAGGTTCTAAGAACGAGAACGAGGTTATACCCTTTTTGCATGCTTTGCCATCAGTTCTCGAGGGCTTCCCCCACGGCGGTAGACGAACTCGTTCGAGAAAACGTCTTGGACCCTTTGAAGTGAATTCCGTGGTGGTTTGATTCTATTTTCAATCTGATTAAAACACAGATCCTATTTCTTTTTTACTGTTTAAAATTATTTTGTTTTACTTGCCTTTACTACACCAGGATCTGGAAAAGTTGTTATATAACCCGCGCCCCGATTGATGTGAGGGATTAGCCAATGAAACGGTTTGTTGGAGCGACTTCTTGGCGTGCGATGCACGGAACTGTGGGTATCCTACTAGAAACATGAACGCTGATTGGTTAATCAAATGTCAGATCTTCATGCAGTACAGACCATCGAAAGTATACTCTTAAAAAAAAGTAGGGGATATTGAAATGCAAATACCTATGCAGGTTGCGATATGATAAATAGTCATGGACATTTGACATGCTTTGAGAGTATGTTCACAGATGAAGAACATATCGTCCCAACAGAACCACTGAGCTGCACATGCGACACACAATAGCGCCATATACGTGGGAGGGGTTCATTGTCAAATTTGACACTTCAAGAAAGGGTTGATGAAAACTGCCGCATGCTGGTTTATCTATCCATGTTTGCTCCCTGTCGGTTCTTGCGTAAGATTTACTGTTTAGCGTATCTTTGCTTTAGTGTGTTACGTTTAATTTGATCGGGAGACGTGTTCGTCGACGTCAACGTCAACCGACAACACTGCAAGAATTGGCCGTGGTACTGCAAGAGGAGATGGCCAGATTGCCCCAAATCGTGATTGGACGGTTGATTAGGAGCATACCACGACAAATTGCTAAATGTCTGAGGATTGGTGGAGTAATCACTCATTATTAAGACAAAAGATAACGTCCATTTTCACTTTTGACGGTGTATCTCTCTGCGTGTGAAATGGGCCGTCAGATAAGCCGCCCATATGAACTGTTTATGTTCATGTGTAGGCAATTGACCTGTTATTAACACACACTCTTTACCTCTAATAAAAACAGCAGTGCATTTCCGCAGTTTTGTATTGTTTCTGTATATCCCCTACTGTTTTTTGAAGAGTATATACAAAGCGAAACGAAATATAGATCTGTATTTTATTCAGATTGTTCTATTTTAGACAATCTTTTTCGTAATTATACCGAAACACATCCCTTTCAAATATACCAGCCTTTGTTAAACCCTGTTTCACTGGTCGAATATAAGCGAAATTTTAGAACGAATCGACAGTTTCAAACAGTGCACTTTTTGCTCTGTTCAATTTTCAGGACGAGGGGAAGTCGCCGTCGTCGTTCTTGACAAAACGCGGATTTTTCTGAACCGTGAATGTGCGTGGTCACGTCTTCTGAGAACGACGACGACTTCACCTCGTTCTCGGAACGCATCTGAACGTCTCTGTTATGATACAAGACGGGGTTCATTATGGTTGATATTTTTTTAAATACTGCATTTATTATGATTTTTAGTTTTAGCACGGACGACTTTGTAGATGTTAGGAGTTGGAAGGGGGGGGGGGGGCGTGGCATTGGCGTGCCAGAGAACAACCTACCCTGGCCTATGTCTGTGAGATTTCTCCCGCTTTCTGTCACCCAAACAGTATCATTTTTGGGTTCAGTGTTTCGTTCACAGAAAGGGCATAGTTAAATATTTGATTGATTGATCGATTAATTGATTGAACCATTAAAATTTAATTCTGACAACGAAATCAATAGCGGGCCTCATTAGAAGATGTTAGACATTGATCAGGAAGGTCTCCAGTTCACGCCAGTGTCTACCTTCTCGCTGTTCTCTTTCTTCAATTGTCAATAAATCTTTGACGCGGGGAAAGAATTGATCTGCCTCAATTTTTATTCTCTATACTTATAACTACATAATTTCCTCTCCATCGGTGTCTAATATTGAAACTGTGTACCGCCTGTCGATATTTAAGATGATTGAACAGATTAATTATTGGGAAGACCATAACTTTGATCTCTAATCAGCTATCTTAATAATAGATAATTTAGAAAGTAATCACCATACTTATCTGTTATTATATATATATCTTATTGAACTTTTGATGACGCTATATTATATCGTTTTGTATTAATTATTAAAAGTTATTAAATAGCTGTTTGTGTTCTTTGTTTTTCCTTTTTTTTTCAAATCATCGAGTATAATATATTTAAGGTGTTAAAAAATTTCCTATATTTAAAGTAGCTAAGCCTCTAACTCAATATCATCCAAAGTCTTCGACATTGAAAA